ATGGGTTAGCCATTTGAGCCTTTGAAGGTTGTGAAGTGCGACCTGAAGGTGAATTACAGCCCTCGTTAAGCTCCAAACCGTGGAAATCTAGATCGTTGACACCTACACAGTCCAACTAGCATATGCACATATCGTAAAGAATGTTAAAAAATCTTTTTTAGCTTAAGTTTGTCTAATTACCGTACCCACCTAAAAATTCTAATGTGATCTTTTGATAACGTTATTCTTTTGTAACGGGTGTCTTTAGCGAACATCAAGCGTATGACCAATTTCACTGTTCGAGCTTAGTTTCCGTTTAAAGACTTGAGTCAGTCACTTACAAAAAAAGATTTAAAATAAATATGCCACATCATCAACGTGTGGTGGCAGTTTGTTTTTGATTATATCTAAGGTCTATTGCTCTTCGCTGAAATCTGCGGATGTCCCAACGCATTTTGTATACACGGTTGAGCAAAATGATCGTCCAAAAAAATACATACACCGCTCTACGACATAATAAAACAGCGTATTTACCGATGTTCTTTGATTCGACTTAAAGCTTGTCATTAGTTGTACTTGTAAATAATACCAGCTCTTAAAAATGATAGTGTTAAAAACTGCATGGATGAATAAATAAAGAAATGCTAATTCAAATATCCAATTTAAAATTATTGTTATTATAACTTCAAGTTGTCTATGATTGGAAAGAGCAATCGTTTTTTGTGTCTATTTCGTTGATGACTCTTAGTTCTAAAAAGAAAGTTTTCTAATTGAAATTATTATTATCATTATAACGCCAAATTGACTAAGAGTAAGTATTTCAACTAGTCTTTTTCACTAAACCTTCCCATCCATTTTCATAGCTCACTGTGGGTAACCATCTAATGAATTTATTAAGTTATGTTCGTTGTAACACAGCTTTTCGTATGCGAATATCTAATAACTTACTCGTCTAAGATAAATAACGTTCACCCACAGGCACCACGGGGGGGGGGGGGGGGGGCTTTAAAATACACTTATCTGGAAATAGGCGCCTTTTAGCTATGGCTAAAGTATTATTCTCTGCACGTATTTACATTAGCTCTTTATAATGTCTGTATTCAACTCTGCTAAAATCATACGTTGAAAGATCGGATTCTTGAATATAGTATTCGAGTCTTCAATCATAGGCCGAAGCTATGCGTAACTTCGAGGGTTCTTACCTCATTTCTTTCAGGTATATAGTGGCCAGATATATTGCCACACATTTTTATGGTTGGCTTCTTCTCTGGAGATATGTCTTCATTGGCTATCTTTTTTGCATTAAGGGAAGGCCTTTTCTTCCTAGATCAAATTTACAAACTCATTATGGAGAAAGCAAAAGGTTGGTGTTTGGAGTGCACGCGAAGATCGATTTTTATCGAATGCCCTCTCTTCAGATTATCCCTTATCGACACTATAAACTGCCTTAGCTCCTGAAATCACCGCCATGTACCTAAGTACGGGGCGAATGAAGCTCCACAAGCAGGTGTTTAGGCTCTACACCATTATACATCTATACATTAATTACAAGGATATACGATGAATTATGTTTAACCAAAATTGTCTTTAAGCTGCCGTAAGAATCTGGATGTCTTTTAATTTACTATGTTTTTTGCCTCCATTTTTTTTATGTTAAAATAAATATGCTCACAAACGAAGGACAATGATTTTATAAGGTTATCACAGCATTATAATATAGCGCAAATTGATCACACAGATATTGAGGGCTTTCCGCCTCCAGACGATGGGTGCGCTCCTAACAAGGGGCGCATCAGAACGAAAATGGTACATATCGCGTTCATGAATATGAACACGTGCTGAAATTATAATATTGAACACAGTATGTATATACAATATATGATCTGCAAATGTAATAAACAGTGATGCATAATATGCGAACTGCATAACTGAAAACCCTCATCAGCTTTGATGCTCACAGCTTTTTAAACGGCTTATGGAATGCTGGTCAAGTCGTTTCTGCACAATGAGCGATCTAGACGGAAGCTCCCTGGGTCATTGGAAAGTTTGCCATAGTCAAACCCCAGAGGCATTCCACGCGCTGAAGTGGCTTGCCCTGTCCGATCCCGTATGCACAGTAAGTCGAATCGTAATAGCAATTAAAAATGGATTGAAAGCGAACAACGACTAATCGAGATAAAAAAATTATTGGTCACGGTCATTCGAAACGCGGTCTATGATTTCCGCATCAACGTGCCTTCATGATGATTTCGAGTTACTGCTTAAGCCACAAGGGTAGTATCGTCTCAATATAATTATATTATAACTTCTCCTCATTTCTACTTTGTAACGTCAACGCGTCAGTGATTTTACTCCTACCCCCTCAGTCTGAAGGCAGTTCGCCTTACGGATATGGCCGGTGCACCCTGTGAAGTTCACTACGGCTCGGTTACATGTCATCGATAATTAGCTTTTTTTATCGCTTTCATTAATTTTTCCGTTCGTTTGGCCGACGCCTTTAACGTTCACAAACGCTACACAAGGACTAGATTGTTTTTCATCTGCTCTTATGTTCTCTTTATGAGCGTACTTATCTGACACATACCATTTTATATCGATGATAACAACAACGATTTAGCTCAGCCGTTGAAATGGATAGGGAATTTTCAATATCGGTACATTCACGTCGAGGAGCCTGGTCTGCCTGTTCAACGCGGATGGTTTTGGATGAAGCCAACTCAATGGGGATTGTACTTCATTTGTTTTCATATTTGCCGGGTAGACGGTAGAGCTGCATTTCCAAATCATTCACTAAGAGCGTTTCAACTAGTTTTAGCTGTATTTTAGGTCCTATATCACCAGTAGCCAAATCGCCTTTAAACGCCAAAAAATTTGCAGTAAACTGGGTTTAACTAACGACACTATCAGTCGATCAGGCGATAGGAAGAAACGACGGGAAAATTGAAGACATACAGTGCCCACATCCCATGGGGTTCCAAATAAGGATATTTAAAATTATCGATAATCATCATTACCATCATCAACGACAGCAACAACAATAGTGCCGATAAGAATCTTTGCAAAGTTTAACGTGATGAACAAAATCATCTCATACTAGTACTATTTGTGATCAGATTTTTTTGCGGAAAATGTGCGCTATATGGATTTATTCGCGTTGCCTTCAGCTGCGGCTGTTCACTCTGGAATCACGACAGCAGGGGTGGATGAATATATGTATATATATATATACATATATATATACATATATATGAAGTCTTTTGCTGTAACAATGGGTCCGTTTAAATTGAATCAACACGACATACTTCTGTTTCACTTCGTCCTCTTTTGCTTATGTTCCAACTGCTAAAACGAAGGTAGATGACGGAACAACAAGTTGATCTTTGCTGTTGTCCACTATACGCGAACAAACCGACGACAGTTGTCGTGTTAGTCAGCGTAAAAATCGTTCATGAAATGACGAATGAAGTCCGATACACACAGCCAACAGTCGCTTAAAGCTTACTAGAACAAGCAACGTCAGTACAATCATGTGAATTGGTTTCGTAATTAACCTCCGACAGAAGGAAGGTAGTTACCTATAACACATAGACCAGCGGTTCACGATGGCATGTGCTGCCCAATATGGACAAGGTACTGTACGCTCACAAAAATATCTTTTTTCATCGGAAGATAGATATGCCTGTTCAACAGAAACAGTATGTATGCGACAGGCAATCGCTCAAAGAATAAAAAATAGTATGTAATTAATTTCACAGGGCTTACTACTTTTAGAGTAATTAGCACGAAACGATATCGATCCCTTGACGCGTCGTCTTTGCGTGTTTTGAAAAATTCACGTGCTTCGATTCGGAATGCAGCAATGATGCTGAAGCAATCTGGCTTCAGCATGGTACCTGTTCGTCATGAATGTAAGGCATTCAGCTACTTTTTACTAAACGTATTTTCTTGACACCCAAGTTCTGGTCCAAAATGAATTTGTCCTCGTTTAGGGGACCTAGAGCTAAGAGTCTGCTCTGTGTTCTTGATTTTCCCTAATTTCACGTCATTTGAGTTAAACGCCTGGACACTTATTCAAGAACTATAGGCCTAAACTGATTCAGGAAAATCATGAAATAGGTGAGCTCGAACTCTTCACCTTTAGTACTAAAGCGCGAGCGTTAATTGGTCTCCTGTATGGACGTTCAGCTTTGTGTCGGATACTTCACCCTAATTATGAGATTTTCCATTTTTTTTTAACATGGTACCCAGTTAGACAGGTTCGCATGATATAGGTCTTAGGCTATATATCCATGGGCACGATTCGTCCTGAAGATGCACAGTGCTACGACTGGGTCTAAGTCATGTCAAAAACAGTTGCCGCTATACGAGTTCTAATAAAACCTAGTCACAAACGGATTGCAAGCTGAAAACAACATTAGGCCAATGAAAACAATTAATGAGCCAAATTGGCATTGGGGTTCATCTGTTGACTTTAATCAAGATTCTAACTGATCGAATATGTTATCCTGGATAGTTTTTAACTGCAAGCTCCAGCGTTTCACATACTTATGCACTAATCAAAAGGCTATAGGAGCTCAAATGCTATACGAGTTACCTATGACTAAAACTCTAAACATGATGAACGAATTACAAAGCTGAAGTATGTTATGGTTCATGTTCAATCACTGGCGCTCAAGATTTTTACGAATCTCTGCAGTGACCGTCTCGACGACAGAGCATCAGCAGGCTCTAAAAAATACTAGATATGATTTTCTGTTCCGGTTTAATTGAATACAATTTAAAAGTCATTTTATCTTTTTGCTACAAATTTATGAATAGACCTATATGCTTAGGAAATCTAATAGAGAGAAAGCTATAGCTCAAAAGACAGAGCAAAAGTTTAATTTCTTGCCTTCCTTGTCATAATGGTACTTATGTTAAATGAGATATTCTTTGTTTCGAAAAGCCTAAACCGCCCTGTTATGCTTTGGCAACGATAAATGAAAAATCAAATTTTCACATTATACACAATCCGATTTATTTTCATTGTGAATTTTTCTACACGATTGGTTTACGTTTGAATATTCATACACATACCTGTCACGTAGGTAATATATATATATATATATATATATATATATATATATATATATATATATATATATATATATACATATATATGTGTAATGTGGTATCTATTTATATTTATATACATACTATTAATGATCTCGTGGCGTCTGACTGTCTGTGGAATTTCCTCGAAGAGAGCTCTATACTCGTATACACCATTGTCACAGTCGTAATGACAGCTATTTTTTCATTTTGAACTATTTAGCAATTATATACATACGCACATGTTCTATTGTTCCTATTTTATGCACGACGTCTACAGAGATGATGGTAAACAAGAAATTGAGCTTAGTCATCGGCCCTCAAATATCCTTTCAGAATTTATTCCAGCGATCAGCTGCTTGTCAGGGATCTGATTTTAACTAGAACGGGCTGGAAAAATACCTAATAAAGTACATTTTCAACACAGCGCGTTTCAGTCACAGCAGCTTCAACCGGTATGACCCTATACTGACGCTAGAAAAAGCTACTAACCATATAATTTCAAATATTATGCCAATAGCATGTGAATCTGGGCCTGAATGTGCTGCAAGCATATTTTTACTTAGGAAAAAACTACTCTCACTGCTTTACTGCAGTACATTCCCTTCCCTTTTTGCCCTGTTCTATAACAGCGCTTTTGCGCCCGTGGTTGGTTCGTTCATGAGGGAAAAATCGATCATGTGATAAGATTGCCAAGTAACGTGATGTCTACTAATCGAAAAAAATCCAACCAGTGATTCTGTATTTTGGCTTGTTACACTTTACGTACACAATGCATTATAGGTAGTAATAAATTCACAAGAGTTTTTTATCTTCATTTCTTTGAACTGTTCTTCTGCACCGTTGGTTCGGACAATTCATCGTAAAAATAATGCGGTAATAATACTAAAAATCAGCGTAAGCGTCACCTTATTCGCTAGTTTTGAAAGCCGTGCGAATTGGGCGGAAGAACCTTAACACAGAACTAGGCCGGCTTAATGGAAGCATTTTTTTTGCGATGAACGTAATCGCGTCAATAATGGTAATCGCGTTTCCAAAGACGATTACTTGTACACACACAAAGATTAGACGCAGTATCGACTGACACAAATGTAGGCTAACCACGTTTGTCGCCAACACGCACGCACACATACATTCATTGCTTTGTCTTTTATCTGATCTATCAGCAATATCTGCGAATAGTGGCCTATGACTCAGCCATAAATAAATTAAAAGTAGAGTACATACAATAAATTATGCCGAGTAATGCCGGGCGCTTGTGCAGTGGCTTCTCTTGTTTAGCGGAGTATTTTGATGTTGTTGGCGAATAGTTCAGGTATAATCTGACCATGTTCATTTGTCTTTCACACTCGTTGTCCTTTCAGATATATACGATGCTTGATATTTCGACAAATGGTAATTGCCAACACGTACCGATTACGCTAAATACGTTCGATAGCTGCACGAGCGTGACATCACGCGACCTGTAGGCAAAACAATGATAGAAGACTCATTTACTGCTCGCCTCGCGAGCTGCTAGTAGAGCGGGGCCGAACTGATAGCCAGGCTCCTGGAGCCTCGTGTTGAAGTGCTTCGTTATTCTCGGCCCCCTAGGCCGACAGATTGTTGTTATCGTACAGGAATACATCGTACATCTCTGCGATAACCTGTCGCCCACCGAAAAAGCGTCCATGCAATGCTTTGATAGCCATGTGCATCTCAGAAGTCTTTGAAAACTCGACGAAGATCTTCACCTCAACGGGTGCGTTCTCCTCTTCACCCTGCTTTTCATTGTAAATGGTAACCTTGTTGACGGTACCGAACTTACCACATTCTTCTGAAATTTCCGGCTCCAGATCCTCATCGACCTCGTCCGCTCCAACCATATTTCTGAAAGAAAATAGATATATATTTCGCGCAATGAGGTACAAGGATTAGTTGTACGTTGACAAAGTAGGCAGAACCGATTAGGTGAAGTAGGTCGCGATTAAAGCCAACAACAGAACCGAAGTAAACTAGATGGCTGGTACGTTTTTTAACACTTTCTTACAGCCGTCGTATTTCCATCTTGTACCAGAGTATAATTAGTAATATCAATAAAAATAAATTCTTTTTACTTTGAGGTTGCGCACAAAAGGGCTAAGGGGATAGACTTAACAACAATTAATCAAGTCCTATCTTTGTATACTGCTTTGACTCATACCAATAGTACGGATCAAATATTCATTAGTGGTTATAACAAATGAACAACCTTTTTCTTGTCAAGCTCCTCATTACCTAAGTATCATAACACACTGGTCACGTGTTTTAGTTCGCATGAGTCTTCTCATCATGGCTAACCGGGCTCCGCCACCCTTGATGGCCACATCTCCCTCGGGGTCCTCCGTATCACCTGACGGAAGCGGTAGTTCTCTCGCGTCATCCAACAGTTCTTCGAATGAAGGTTTCTTTAGCTGAGGTGAAGAGTTTTGTCCTTCTGTTTGAGCAGGCGGTGGTGGAGGCGGTGGCATGGGCACGGGCGTCCCGATGGGCGGAAGCGTAGTCAACACAGTAGGCGGCGGGAGTTGAACTTTAGGCTTGCCGTCAGCATCAACTAAAGCAATTAAATCAAACAAGTCAAAATTACATTAAAAATATTTTTCAAAATGTGTGATAGTCAGTTCTGATACACTGATTTTAAGAATTCATCAGTAGGCGAGTGGCCTGCTATTGTATTGTCTAGGGCATGGCTATTCAGATATGAACATGCGCGCCACGTTTCTAGGCCAAATTAAAAAGCATTTCAGTCAAAAGAAACTTTCTTTTGAAAGAAAAAGCTCTTTTCATTTTTGTCCTATTGAGCACTTACGCGTTACAATTCCAGGTGGTGGTAAAGCAGCCAAATTTGGGACTAAACCAGGCATAGCAGTGGGAACACCGTTCCCAGCTAGCAAGGCACCGCTGCCTGGTGAAAGATCATCGGCTCCGAGCTTGCCTTGCAGGACGGTGCCTTCGAGGGCCTGAATTTTGGCTGTGGCAGCAGCGGCTGCTACTGCTGCTGCCGTCGGTAGAGGTCCGGCTAAAACTGGAGCGACTGGGAGTAAAACACCGAGATTGCCAAGCGCACAATCTGATGGAGTGATGGCACGTCCCACTCGCAAAAACTGTCCCCCTAGGTCGAACAAATTCATTGAGGTGATAGCGTCAGAAGCCGCCTGAATAGTATCGTATTCGATAAAACCGTATTCACGGTGCTTTTCTGTGGGATGTACCCCTGGTGCCAGTTTACAGCTCTTAATCTTGCCAAATGCTTCGAACACGGAGTGAATATCGTCTTCACTAAGATCTTGATGGATTGACGCGATGTATATGCGTGACGACTGCTTTGCTTCCTCCATGATCTGGTCGAGTACTGGCGCAGCTTGTGGCATGTTTGATGGTCGACCAACCTAATTAAACACGCGAAAATATGAAAATAAATTTAGTTCTAATGAAATTGCTGTCTCTTCCACTCAAGTTGAACACTCGAAATTACTCAGAATGATTGCTAAAAATACCCGTATTGAAAAATCACTGATTCACAATTTAGAGCTGAGCAGTGGAATATATTACCTAATGGAAAACGTAAGCAATGCACAAAAGTGTAGCAGAACTTGTGCTTGATTTTTTTTTTACCTTGATATTTCGTCCTCCCATAAAGACACCGTTCATTTGCTCAAGGGCAAGCTGCGCAGCTTCGGGTAATTCAAACTCGACAAAGGCAAAACCTTTATGTCGTTGTGTAACAGTATCGTAAGACATGTTTATCGCCTTCACTGGACCGAACGGCTTGAAAGCCGTACGTACAGCGTCCTCTCGCAATTCAAAACTAATGCTCCCCACATAAATGCGACACATTAGAACGAGAGCCTGTAAGTCCAAAAATTGCATGTAAGCAAAAACGTGTACCCGCTCTCTGCGTTATTTATGAAATAAGACGCGATAGGAAGATTATAACTCATGCTTGATAAGCCTCTATTATTAGCAATACCTCAATTGTTTAAACGACATGCATTTACCGCAAAATAGCCTAGTCACCGCTGTAATCTGTACTCCATCTGTCAGCGATCTTCGCCGTGGTGCAAAGGGTTCTAGGTTCACAGAAGCGATGCTGAATTTTCCCGATTTTTTTTTGTTTGTTCGTTCGTTCGTTCTGTATTTCGCTGTTGAATTTAAACATGATTATTATATTCAGACTTACGTATTCGAGATACTCTATCAGCGTTTGACTAGAAGTGTAGTTTGACGACGTCTTTGTTTGCCAGCAGGATTCTTGCAGTCTAACCTGATGTCGTTGCAAAGTCTTCTGTTGCTGCTGTGTATGGACCAGCGTCTGTTTGATGATGACCGTCTTGATGCTCTGTTCCATCGCATACTTCTTTGCCTTGTCGAGCATTTCCTGCTGTTCGGGCGTTAGTTCTGGGAGCTGGAAGTTCTTGATTTTTTCCAAAGTGACGTGGGCCTGCTCCCTCAGTGCACCTGGACCTGCCAATACGGGCCCCGTTTGGATACCTGTAAAACACTATCCGTTAGCTAAATTGATCCAATATCAGAAAAAAAACTATATAGAAATAACCGTCGACGAACGTTTACACCTACCAAAAACTGATTAATACTAATGGCCGCCATTCCTCGATCGTCGTTATCAGCACCATACTCATGGACAAGTGTGCATTCCTGGTTAATCTGCAACGCTCTTTCGCTGTAGCTATTTTTTTTTCTTGTCTCGGTTCTGCCGCCAAGCAGATTCTGACAATATAAATGCTCGAAGTTAGCAAAACAACGATTGTAATAGCAAAGCCTAATAATAATAATTATTATTATAAAGGACAGAACATTATGAGTTTGCCTCCAGCCGCCCTAGGGTAACACTTTTGTGGAGTGCGCTCATCGTCTTCAGATTATTAGAGGTAAACCATTCGATTTTTTACTCCTCGTTATGATGAGCGTGAGAAAACAGACGAGAATATCAACAGTGATCAAAGATGACCTGTCGGATTACATCATCTTTCGCATGTAAACTTAACATAAGTATACCTAATGGACATCGCAATAAACTACCGGGTAGTGAGCTGTATAGAAATTTCGGCCGCCACTTTGTAGAGGGGCTACACTTTCAACTTGAACGGGATGACCTGGAATAAACAAAAAAAAAAAGAATATATCAACCTGGGCAATGCCATCATTGCCGTCACATACAACCAATTTGAATAGCGGGGACAGCCAGTCCAATACTCAAAGAATGAAAGGGTCCGCTATTCATTAGACTCGATCTCAATGACCAACGGCCGTTCGGGAAACTACAGACAGAGCTAGGTAATATTTTCAAACGCTCAATAGTTTCAAGCGAACGAAAGATGTTGAGTTAAAATCATAGTTGTCACTTTGCTCGATGGCAGCTTGCCTGTTTTGTTGGTACCTGATACCTGCTAACTATTTGGTACAAACAAGCTTTGTTTCTCTCTCTCTCTCTATATTTCTCTCTCTCTCTCTCTCTCTCTCTCTCACTACCTCTACCTCGCTATATCGAGAACCAAGTGTCTTATTTGTTGCCTATTCGAAATGTATTTGCTGTAAATTGCTCTCGAACTCTCGCGGAGTCGAGGAGTTTCGCCGGCGAGGGGTCTCTAAGAGCCTTCAGATGTCGTTCTGGGTTACAGTCGACCGAGAAGGCACGGCGCAGTGGCGGTCGCCAAGACTCATTTTCTAGGAAAAGAAGAGAAAAAAGATCAAAACAATATATAACAGTCACGAATTAGATCTACCAAGGCGTGTCCTGCTAAGCGCCTTAGCACTTGCGCCTTAGTTAGTTACTATTAACCTGATCGCATTATTGAGAGCACGTCCTTGAAAGAGCGTTGCAGATTAGGAACGGTCTACCCTACGAACATCAATCGAACGAGGCACCGGTTCTCGCCGGCGTCCTTGTTTACAGTTTGTGAAAGCCATCTCCCAGGCTAATACATGACTAATAAACAACTGAAGCAGATCAGACTATATAGGCCTCCGGGTGGATCTGCACGACACCTGAACATGGATGAGGTCCAACAAGGCCGATATTTCAATTTAACACGTTTTCTTGTTACGATATGCACACTTCTCCGAAGCACCAAAATGTGACGCATATTAATTGAGCATCTCTAATCAACTTCTATATGATTCTAGTTGTGAAACGGCGAATTTGTCAAGCTGATCGGGTGTATGTCTTCGCAGATCCTGGCCTTCCGATTTCCATCGTTCAATTACCCCTTTGTTGATTTTCGTCACCTCTTCAGCTGTTGTTGAGCTTTATGCGATTGCCGGCCACAACAGTGTGTATGGACGCGAATGTTATATTTGCTGCATTGCCGGTCACACGCATTTGGACGTGGGAAGATGCAAGGCAAACAAAAAAAAAGCAAACATCAACACCAAGAACTACACCAATGAAGAAAAACTAATTTTACTAATAATAATAATAATAATAACAATAATAATAATGATGATGATAATAATAATACGAAGGGGCTTTAGTAGAAAGCATTGTTGCTGCGTGCATTCTATTCTCCTGTGGTCGACTAATCGTCTCACACCTTGTGCCACGCCAGCACACCTTACTGTATCTGGAACAGCCTTAATATCTGGAATGACGATTAAAAAACGATCGGCTGAAATCTGCGTACCGCCACTGTCCATAGATCGTTCGCGTGCTTTGTTGGCTTGATCGCACCTCCGCCAACGACGCAACAGATGGTAGCTGTAATTGCTGTAACAGTCGTAGAAGCTGGAGTTGATTCTGGCTCGCACTTGTCTCATGCGAGAAAAAGATTGCGATACAGGGAATAATAGAAAGGAAAAGATCAAAATACAACATCAACGCGCACGTGTCTCCCTCTCCCACTCTCTCTTTCTGTTTCGATAGAATCAGTCAACTGTTATCGGTTGTTGCTGTTGTTAGTTACAGCACGCCCATTTGCGACACGCGCGCTTCACTATGCCAAGTCACAAGAGGCTGTATTACGATAGCGGTCCTCGAGGCCCAATACAGCCGTGATTGAAAGCTGGGGCCGTTGTTGTTGCCGCCGCCGCAGGCATGGTTTAGCCGCCGCAGCGGAGCCTACGGTTTGCAGAACCTGTCTACAGTTGGTAAACCTGTGCACACGAATGAAGTTAAAAAAAAAACAAGAGAGAAAGAGAGAAAAACGCAGAAGAACATATGGTGGTACAATATCCCCTTTTTTTTTCCCGCTGTATTAGTACACCGAATGAGATCTCTGAAAGTAGCAGCTAACTGAATGGACAAACAACGAGCCAGCCATCATGGTAAGGAGTCATGGACATTCCACAACATGGGACGAAGCGTCGTTAACATGAAAACGCGAAAAAAAAAACAATAGAAAATCAGCGTCACGCAAGCAGGCCAAACACATCATTTATCCTACACAACGTATCGTAAGGCGCAACTGACTCATGGTAGAACAAGGACATTTGCATCCCTGTAGCCTTCACGTCAACGACCCGTATAACGACAAACTTACCATATTTGCTGTCCAACTTGGGCTTCTTTGCTTTCTCCGCCTGCCAGACGTTGCCGCCCAGGTTCGCCTGTAAAAATATATATAAAAAAATAATAGCGAAGGCATAGATCTCTTAACGTAAACGATCTGTTCGCTAGGAATATCAAGGCGGAAAGCCATTATCTTCTATACGATAAACAGCATGCTGTAAAGTACTATACTCGTGCAATAATTCATGGTTTTCATGCAGCTAAGTACAAATGATTTGTGACACAGATTCAAACTCGTCGATGAATTTAGCAAATACGTAGTTATTGTACCCACTAATTTCGGCCAGAGGTTTTAAAAAATAGGTCCTTTAAATATTCATTACCAAATTGCACTACTACGGCTACTTTGGACAATGTCGCAAAATATGCACTGGCAGGTGTCTGTTCGATTGGACGACCAGGTTTTCCAAGAACTATCCCGGCAGCCATTGCAGCAGAGGATGTAGTCAGCGTGTATGGGACGATTTACCAATAACGATGTGTGCTTCCAGGGTCAACGATTAGTTCGCAATCGAGATAACAGGAATTACCTGGGGCGTAGGTAGCTGCCGTGCCGTGGCGTACATCTATGTTGATTTTCAGGAGCCCCCCTTTTTGGGAAACACCAAAAAATCCGATCGTTATCAGTTCCGTTTCGCTCTGTTTCACTGTACAAAACAAATATGGCAGATTCGTTCTGTCGTTTAGAGGTGCAGAGGGTACGGAAACTGGGTTACCTGCGAATAAACGCGGTAGTAGTGTGCGAGATATCTTTTATAAGCCATTAGTATATTAAGAGTTTAAACAATTAATGAATGTGTACATTCTAGTGACGTATATGTTTCCAAATTGCAATAAATAGGTAGTCGTCAAAGTTTTCACAACTCAATTTAAAGACCTAACGCCTGCGCTAATTAGAGGAAAGTCGGACTTATCCAAGACCCATACAAAAACAGCCCCAAGAAAAACTCTTTTTTGCTTTTGGTTATTCCGAATGTTCGATAGTACGGTACAGCTCTGTTCTAGAACATAGAATGGTTTCATGGGATGTGTTAAGTGGCATTAAATCGGTGACAAACAGGCGCTTGGCAGATATCGTTTGATCCTGTGAGCTGCGCTTTTACGCAAGCGTCTCGAAATCCACTGAAGTATTGTTGTATGGCTTCCATATAATAAGGCAGGCTTATGCTGCGCTTGAGGTCGGCAAAATCTGAATGTGTTACGCTAGAATAGCACTACACTGTTCAATATGAATACAAAAGAAACTGATGAGCAGCAAAAAATGCGGTTCCAAATCGAACTAGAGTTCGTGCAGTGTCTGGCGAATCCCAATTATTTAAACTTTCTGGCCCAGAGAGGCTTTTTCAAAGATAAAAGTTTTTGTAACTACTTGTCATATCTTCAGTATTGGAGCCGACCAGAATACGCAAAATTCATCAAGTATCCAATGTGTTTATATTTTTTGGAGCTTCTACAGTATGAGCACTTTCGAAGGGAGATCGCTAGTGGACAGTGTGCGAAGTTCATTGAAGATCAACAATTGTTACATTGGCAACATTACACGAGAAAACGAGCTAGGTAGGTCAGGCATGGATACATTTCGTCTTGTTTTTTTGCAATGTAATTCTCGTTCCTTGCTCACTACCATATCATACTACAAAGAGATAACATACGTTGAGTTTTAAGTAATGGTACAATTATTAACCTCATTAATGCTTCACTGACAAGAAAGCCCTTGAAAAGTACAGCTGTATATTATTGCGTGGATCATGGTGACGTTTCATCAGATGCCGATTTCTTGTCACTGTAAGATGGGGTCTAGGATTGAAACTTTGCATAGGTACACTTCGTTTCGTGTCTGAAGGAAAGATTTACTATGCAGTACTGCACGCGAAGGATGAAACATACAAAAATTGAAGCATCTATTAAATACCGGTTTCTTGATCGTGCCCATTTTTTCGATGATTGCCTTCTCAGCCGGTGGAAAATGAAGACCCGTATTCGTAGTATAAAACTAGCTAGCAGCTAATTTAAGATTTCTAGGAAGATGCAAAAGCAACACCGAGTTGTGCAGCAAAATGGGAGCAACTCGGGAGCAGTTTATTATAAGTAGAAGACATTCGTAGAGAGAACTTAAACTGTTATGAACTTCACGGATATTTACTGGCTAGGATAGTATAGTAGCAATTTACACGAGGTATTTTCTTTTAGTACTTCAATTTTTCTGAACTTTCTAGGTTACTTCAGCAGTGCCAGGATCCGAAGGATATCGGGGGCACTAGCTCGGGTCTCGCTAGCAACGGCAGCGCTTCGCATACGGGCACCGCCGTTGCGTGTCCTGGAAATACGGGAAATCAGGTTCAGGCAACACCTTCAACCGGAGCGAACAACATACCGTCCATGCACATTAAGTAAGGTTCCGAGACTCGAGTGGTTAACGTGAGATGTCTATTTATATGCTAGTAAGTACGCGTTAGAAACAGGCGTACGTGTTTGTATATATGAAGAAATAAAATGTAAATATTTCGTATGAAAGCGAAAGTAATAAAAAAGTGCAAGAATGTAAATACACAACTATGTCAGTTAGTTTTTTATAGCGGTAGATTCGCGTTAAGTAATTATAGTAATTTATATAGAGTATTGATCTTGTAAATAAAAAAGTGCATTATAGGAATAGTCTTAATATATATATATTTTTTTTTATCAAACATCCAATAATTTTATTAATATATATTAATTTTAATTGTTAAGTTAAGAAAGAAATAAACAAAAAAAAGTCAAATCAAAACTTGACTTTTGTATTAACTATTTTGAGAGGGTTATTCATCTTATTTATCAATATCGTTCTCATTATCTTCAAATTAATATTTTACATTTTACATTAAAAGAAAGGGTGTATATGTTGTTATTGTTATTATTATTATTAATTTTATTTTTCCTGGGTAAAATTTTGTAAATATATTTTATTTTATCTTTTTTTATTTAATAGAGGTATTTAATACTAAATAGAGCATTTACATCTTCTTCTTTAGTTGTTATGTTAGTATTAATTATCCATTTGTTAGTGGCGTTGATTTTTGTTATTAAAATGATTGTTTTTATAAGAAGTTCATTACGAGCAACGGGGTAGAAAATGCGACGTTCGAAAAACATTTTTTTCGCATGTAAACGCACGGTAAATGGCGGGTCTTTAATTGTCAGCTTATGTTTACATATTATCAGCTTGGCATGAACGCTGATATACTATAAGTAGTTGTTTTGAATAGTTGCACGGTAATATTGCAGTAGGTCAAAATACGGAATTGACGAGTTAGTGATACGTGTCTTCCACCAAAAACGTACGCGGTGCTAATTCTTGTCGCTAATCAGTTTAGGGAATGACGGATGTTCGTGGTCAATTAAAAGTTGCCTCTTGCGATTTTCAATAAAATACTGTTGCTATATTGACTTCGGTAATTATTATTAGGCTGCCTGTCTATCAACAAAGCTGATTTCGCAATGAGATGGATCATTCAAACCGAAACTGGCCCACACTTACTCACGTACAAACAAAAAAAAAATGAACAGAGAACATTTACACGCCAACTACCCACATCACTTGAGAATTTGCATTACGCTCAACCAGATTAATGGCATTTATACATTTAACTGACCTAATCCCTGCTCGTATATCATGTGGTACGACAGTATGGAAAACAGGTTGCCCTATGAACTAAATACTGAACCTACATTATTATCGTAACAGGTAATACACGAACAGTTATTTGTTGCAACCAGAAGCGATACATTGCAAAGGGTAAGTGCATTAAACGAAAAACACGAAAACTGTATTGATACATTTGTTTTCACAGTTTATTAATGTCACTTGTTTTTTACGTATATGTACATCAGCATAAGAAACGTGCCGATTTATGTGTCAGTTTGAGTAAAAAATACACCTGTTTGCCATGTCGTGGTAACGACCGTATTATGGTCACTAGAAATAATTTCGGCATTCGTCGACACGTTCCGCTGTTACATTGGCTGTGAGTAGTACAGGAACAGCTTGGTAAAAACTATTCAGTTTTTAAATTTCTTATTATTATATTACAGATATGCAGTATAAGTGTCGATACGTATTTTTATTTTTCTGAATCATGCATGGAAAATTATTATCCCTTTTGACAACGCGGTCTCAAGTACGTTTCAAAGATTCATGAAAATGTCTGGTAGTTGCATTTGGTCAAAACATTTGCTCATTAAAAGTTATTTCTGGACTACTGGTGCCAATATAGTGGCAAACAAATACATATACGGGCGTTCTGGTGGTTTGTGTAGATTTATTAAGATTTGCTAACGAATAAATACGTACTATACAATGAATAAAACAATAATTGTAATCGTAGGACTTACAAATAATATTTGAATTACGAAGAGTTGAGCCAATGATCTAAATAATGGAAGGGGCGCTTTTTAGTAAAACTACAGAGAGTTAAGGAGCCTAATAAGTTTTAATTTTTTAGCTTTTTTTTTTTCAATTGTAGAGAGCCTTAACAGATAACAATTGCTCATGGAGATATCCGGTCACTGTGTATATATGTCCGTAATGGCTTGACTTTTTGCTGTTGAAAAAATGTGTCTATTTACCTAAAAGTGCAATAGACTGTGTACTCTGTCACAACATTTTTATATGTATATTCTATACAAGCATACTCAAAACCTTTAACATATCTAACAATTGAAATAAAGTTCAGTTTTTCGAAGGTGTCTATTCGTCGATTGCCTCCCTCGTCCAGACTGTGGAAAATTAAATCATCGAAAATAGAGATGATCTTCTGAGATGGGTGAACCAGGCTAAATCATAAATAATTGGTTTGAACAGATCTTTTGCCATATGAGGTGCAGTTTTCGAATAGTCTTCAGATTCGGGTCTTTCTTCTCAAAGGCGGAGAGGCACATTTGACTCGTCGATAAATTGTCCCTTGACATACTTGTGTCGCATCAATTTTCTTCGAAGAAATATATTGTAACACCCGCTAGTGTGACCAAACTGAATCAAACAATTCTGCAAAATGGTGTATGTCGTATAATGGGACCCCGAAATACTGTTGGGTGAGTGCCTTGGGGTAAAGTATTACGTTCAAAACTGCACGTCCAATCAACACTGTTTTCCGTCTCTGAGACAGTTGCGTTTGCTCAAGCTAATATTAATTTCTGAGAAAAGGTATGCTAGGAAAGAATAAGATGTTGAAGGCCTATGCCTTTCGCAACTCGGAAACGAGATCATCAAACGATTCAACGAACCATGGTGCCGCCGCCCGTACCTTTTCGCGAATCTGGAAAAGATACAGTACAAACATGAAACTATGGTATAACTGAACGAGCAATTATGGAAGATCATATAAGCGCATAGTGTCTTGCATCAACTATTTCTTCTTTAGGCATAAAAAACTATAATAAATAGCGATACTGTTTTGAATAGTTTAGATTTGTTGTATGTTCCGAGTAACTTACGAGAAGTATGTTTACATTGGAAAAAGTTGTCCAATTTTACTTTTATATGGTATAAATATTAATATAAATAACAATAATAATAAATATAAAAATAATAAGGGATTAAAAAGGATATATATATATATATATATATATATACCTTTATTTAATCGTACTTGTTATGCTACAGAGATAATTAGCTGGGCTTGAGCTACTTGTTAGCGGAAATAATAAAAGATATAGTATCAAAATCTAATATATATATATTTTTTTTTTATTTCACAATGCATTTTGTAGCATACAATGAAACAGAATCGTTTCATACCTGATTACCTCCGTATCCGATAAAGGCATCTGCAGGAGGGCAAGCCGCAAGGTCCGTAGCACCATCACCAACCTGAAGGGTTAAATTCGTGTTAATATCCATCCACATATGTGAAAGAATGGTCATTTCCATAGTTCTCAGAAGCGTATTTTCTATTTTGCATTTATATATTGCAAAGAGTTAGAAACCTGATTACAGTACGGCTACAACATACCATGACAACTCGCTGATACCCGAACTTCTTTTTAAGAAATTGTACAACGCGCGCTTTGCCATCCTGATGACTCGTCGGCTGCTTTTCTTCGAAACCAGCATAACTGCCATTAAAGTAGAACTGCAACCATTACAAGTATAGAATACACCATCTCAGCAAATAATAGTGGTTTTCTTACTATATAGTAGAGAGAATCTTACTTGTGATAATCTATCTATTGACAATTATTAATGACAAAGCTAATTAATGGCCTAATGTCTACATATTGTGGGAATAAGTATTGACTTTTCAGATACATTTGCAAGCGATAGATGTTTACAGATTACTGGTCTAGTTTTACTTAGTTTTTGAAGCCTGATGGCCATAAGTAATTGCTACGATTAATACCGTTGCTTGGAACACTGTCTATGTTCGTTGTATCTTGGTTGGATAATCACCTTGAGCTGGTTCGCAAAAATGTTCTCATGAGGGATGGAAAGTTCGGTTGCAACTGGTTCAATGATCGACTGGAACCCGCCAGAGACGAGATAGACGGCTGTGTTACGCGCATGCAGATGACCAACGAGTTCTCTAAACCAAAAAGACGACGAAATTAGATAGAAAATATATTACGGAATAAATAATTTAACAGTATAGACCGTATAGATCAATTTACTTGATAAGGTATCATCTAAAGATTTCTTCTGAGACGATATTCAAGACTCTTTTGGGATGCTACAAGATTACAATCAACTGAAAACATATATATATATCTCAAGAGTGTGATTTCGTTATTGTTCCAGGATGATGTTGTCCACCTTGTAATGGAAGACCTCAAAGTATTTAGGTCAAGTTGTACTGCATTTGATTATAAAAACTGAAACCCTGTCCAAATGCCTCATTTGAGCTACGTTTATGATGACAATTATTCTTTTATCTTTACGGTAACATCATTTAATAGAAAAAGCACGCGGTGCACTTCCGTCATTTTGCTCTAATCCCTTAGCCAATATTCAACGCGGCAAGAAAAAGCGAATACCCATGTGATAGAGGTAACAACATCGTCATCTCAGCTTAATGTTGTCTTAGACGCTGCTAATAGTTACCACAAGAAGCTAATCGGTCAGTGTATGGGTCACACAAATATATTTGGCAAACCAGCGCTATGTTTACTACCTGCTCCGTCGCCCCAAGACCTCTATTCCAAACCGTTCTATAGTGATCCCAGATGCATTTGATTTACAACATAATGTTTCTTGAGCTGAATTGAAAATTTCTACCCTTACGTCTGCAAAAAAAGCGTGTTATTAAGGTAGATTCAGTTGCTGCTACCAAATCGATCATTCTATTGTTCAGGCGAGCCATAAATACTCATTTACTTATATTTATATTTATTTTTATATATTTATATGGCAACACTCATCAATACATGAGGCCCGTAACGTTTGGTACTATTGCCACAATAAAACGGAGAAACAGTGTCCTTTAAGGCTCCACTGCAACGGAAATCGCCGTTTCCATATTATAAACGAGAGCGAAACCGGTAGCGCCAAGCTAATTGCAACAGGCGGCCATCCTTCGGTTTCAGGGAAGCCGTCTTCAAATAAACATTGGTATGTTGGGCAACATAGATGAACATTTAAAACACTGTCTCCTGTTAGCATTTTGGCATCGAATGGCTGTTGCCACGCACAGTCCAGCTTTTTTTCTCAATAAAAGCACCGCGGAGAGAATCGAGGCCGATTTGCCTGATTTACTTTCACATATCTCAACGTTTGCTACTAAACTATGAGCGATTCAACTATTCAAATATCAATCCGATAACCTCAAAAAATAGTGATCAGCCAGCAACTTCTTCAACTGTTACATAGTTTCCTTTTTGTTTTTTTGACGAGGATGTCTATAGCACCAGTTTTCGTAAATATTGCTTCCGTGCTTATGCCTTCGTTCGCTATCGGAAACCTTCCACTGCGCGAATTACCCAGCTATGTGAGTTGACTTGTGCGTGCTATTCAATCAGTTCAAATTATTAATTGCATTAAGCGTAACACCAATGGAATTTCGCGATTTGCTAAGTGAAGTTACACTTTAGTTAAAGTAACGGCGAAAGCACTGGTGAAACCCTATATTGCCGTGGTTGTAAATGAGATGCGGTGTCCGCCAAAAAGTCAACAGACGGCACAAGCCAACAGCAGAACAACAAATGCAGGTACACAGACTTAGTTCCAGAAATGATTCGTAATTAAAATTTCAACATTATTTTCCGCTCAAGTGGTCTGCGATCTAATGCTGAGCCTATTTCAGCTAATTTCATTGACGGAATTGCCATTCAGAAGCAAATTCTTCGACAAATACATTCAGTCGGATTGCATTAGTCACCCAATTATTTCTGTATAAGCCTTCTAATTGTGTCATATCAGTCACACATGTCACAATAAATAACATCAAAATATCAACTAACTATTGCTTCTTTTTGCAGGAAACTTTCTTTAAAAATTTATCCAAAACAACCACGAGTGTGTTTGTCCTTTTAGGGTATTGTACACATACCAGACAACTAAATTGAAGTCTGACTACGTCGAGTCGATACCTAGACATGGCGTTATGCTTGACAAAAACAATCCTCATTATGAGACCGCCCTTAAATGCATCTTAAATCCGTTCATTTAGAATCTAAATAAGTGTACTCTATCTATGGACCCTGAAAAATGATGGTTCGTACATTCCTGGGCAAACATATGGACTTTTTGTAAAAGAGCGGCCCTAGAGCTGAAGGCTAAAGAAGATTATTAGAGAAGCCGGCGCCTCAGTTCTTGAGCGGGTTAGACAATAAATCGATTGTACTATATTATTGCTTTTTCTTGAAATGAAAATGGACATCTAATGTCCAACCGGGTTTACTGGTTAAGACTCCCACAATACCAAACGAATGCCTTAGCAGCGAAGTCTGGTCTGAGTAATGCATTAATTGTTAACCTCCTTGGAATAAAAGATTCCTACGTTGATCATCCGACTCGAATGACGCTCAAACATATGCAAGTTGTTTCGTCGTACGTTTCGAATACTCTAGATTATACGTAACACAATTCAAGTAGTGCCATTAAAAAGAAGTGGTGTAAATAGACATTCACCAGAACTGCCTGTATCTCGTAGGAAATTGTTAGGCGTCAAACTTAGAATCGAACGTCATGAGGAAATGTCTTATATATGTATCCTAAATCTATTCCGCGCACTGTGTTCCCACCCATAAACGATTAACCGCACATCCTAAGAATCACCTAAGCTTGGTTACCACTTTGATATACTGTAATGAAATTTTTAGGCTGTAGAAGGTACTGGTTAAATGGATTTTTTTAGCCTCTTAATGATGATAAAGTAGTCATAGGAAAAGTGTTAGTCATAGGAAAAGATTAACACAAGGGACACAACATGCCTTACAGATATCGATCAACAGTAAACTACATGCAAAAACATTGAGCATATCTAACTTCTCATTACTTTTGTCATAATGATATAGCTACTTGCGTAAGCAGAAAATATCGAATCGTTTCACATGACTGAATGCACGCTAGTACATTCAATCGTTTGATGTGGTAAGAAAGAATAAGCCTAATTACTTACTCAATGCCAGGTGACAACCTAGGCGGGTTTTCGCGAATGTATGTTTCCACCATCGCCATATCTGGTTGAATGAGCTCAAGACGTTTCGTGAGCGCCTCACGGAAGGTCATGCCACCTTTCATTGCTTTCGCTGTTCTATTATGAATATAAAACACGAGAACAGTCAATAGCACTCATCAAAAGAAGAGTTAACAAAATTGCTTCAATTTAAATCGATTAACGAATGTATACACCAAACCGCATATATGCCCAATAAACTGCAGAAAATAATGCGAATCATGGCTTAAGATATTGGGTATTCAAATTTCTTTTTAAGAGGTGACGGTTTTGACAGTTTCATGGCAGTTTCCTTGTAACTGAAGCAGCTTGTGGTGGGTTTTATACATAGTCTAGATGAAAACGCTTACAGATCGGCAACCTCCTTGTCAAGTCCTGCAAAACGTGCCAGCTCATCAATTGCTTCATCCATACAAACCTGAAAAAAATTATTGCCGCTAAATATTATGCGTGTCATTATTATGCTCTGGGCGCTTCACTGATATTGAATGTTATACGATTGATCCAAAAGTCAGGTTTTGTGCTACACAGTCAATTTAATGGCACTGTATATCGGGTTCAACAGTTGCCGCATCGATAGAACATTGAGTTTTACATAAATTACAAATTATACTGCCTAAACCTAAAGGAAAATAATAATAATAATAAAAGTAGCGAAGATAGTACATACTGTCGAGTCAACATCGAAACAGACGCAGTCTGCCGCACGCCACATAGCTTTCGTCTGGGCTTCTGTTAACGATAAAGGCTGAACGGGCATTTTTCTAGCAATGGCTAAGCTGTTCGTACTACTCAACGAAATCTGTCTTATCAATGAAGGCTGAAAATGACAGACGAATATTAAATTATTATTAATAGCCATTGGTGCTGAATTAGTCCAAATCCCCCTGACCGCTGCGTAAGATTATGGCGCAAAACATTTGTAACGGTGTAGTAATTAGTGGTCATTACTCAAGATATAGTGACTACTCATTATCGCGTCAAAAAGTAATTCCTATTGACACTGGCTGTGGCATTGTAAAGCCCCAAAGCAGTTTGAAAGGAAAGGAGCGGATGCTTTTCTTCCAGGTCTGTTTCAATTATAAATTCATTTTTTTTCTATGACTATAAACCTGTTTTTGTTCGCTTTTGTTCAGGATGCCATATAATATTAAACTATCAATGATACATTAATGTTTCCTTTATTAACATTATTCTAATTATTCTTTACTTAAATAAATTACTAGTTTACTTAAATTTAATTTTAGTAATTTAGTAATACATGCATTGAAAAACATCTACCTATTTTTTTTGTATCATTATATAACTGCATGTCAGATATAAATACAAATTTGCATTATGTTACACATTGTCCACGTTCATCACGACGAATTTCATTGTCAAGGTTGTTTACACTAGCAATTAGTTCGTCAATCAATCTATATATACATTTTTTCACCATTTACAGGAAGTCAAGCTTTTTTTTTTATTTGTTAATATGCCTACGCACGACGAGAATGGCGAGCCAAAGTGAAATTTCATTGAGCAAGGAAGAGACGTCTGCCAGTCTAGAAACTAGTTAACAATGATAATATTATTTTACCAATAAAAATGAATTTTTCATTTCTGCTAAAACATATATGCTTCTGCGCAAAGTGAAACACTTCTTATACTCTTCTATTAAACTTTAGGTGATAAAGGCAATTTGAGATGGTCAGAGCACTTGGGTGCATAGCAATTAAAATGTCCTATTTAGTCTATGATTGAACTCACCTTGCAAGATGCATAACAGAAAACTTGTCCTCACAATACTTTGTTATCTTTAAACTCAAAATGCAAGTTATATATAGTAACTATAAACGTAAAGACTGATTACAGTAACTTCTTATGTAAGTAGATACACTGAAATATAGCTCATTTTTAGCTCTTACTATTTAGCTATTTTTTAGTCTTGACTGCCCGCCCTTTGAGGTGTATTTTTATGTAAGGATTAGAAGCGATACTCAATACGTAAAACATGATGGATATTGTTAGCACTTTCTGGTTCTCTGTTGTGATATTGCGTAATCTATAGCTCTGTAATAGTTAATCGGCAAATAACACATGATCCCTTTCGAGTATCAACATGTTCTGAATTCATTTGACGCACAAGTGTGTTTAGAAAAATTATCTGTAATAGGTGTAACATCTGCTTTGACTTACGAGAACTGCATAAGCGAATCGTATGTTATAGTTTTAAAATATCTTATATATAATATCGGTGGTCCACTAGATGAGGCCACTCGAGATTGAAATAGACGTAGATGATCTTAGTTTTTATCAGGTATCGGCCGACGATGTGGACTCGACCGAACTCTACATCAGATAGCTTCCATTGACATTGTATACTACAGCGTCTTACCAGACAATTATGAGGTTCGTTTTAAATAGCAAACTCCGGTTGAATTTTCTTATTGTTAACGTTATCTCCGTGGCAAGAGACGAGATGTGCTCAACTGTATAACGAGATAACGTAGACAGTTCGTTCACGACTCTTCCGTTACCTAATACAAGCTAGTATTGGAGATATCCCAAATATCTGCACATGTCTATTAATCCGTATCTGTGCTGCACTATAATCAACTAATAGTCCATATATTTGTAGACCATTGCTAGAATGCAACTTACTATTTCAAATGTTGTTGATTCCTTTATTTGCTCTGTTAAACATGTAGAGGAAAGAAGCGAGCCAAAAATGTGTTGATAATTTTTGGTAAGCGATCGGCCAACCCTTTATTGACTTTCTTCGAACTTAAAATCGAAGCCCGTTTTAATTGAGATCAAAGGCCAGTTATCTTTGTACTAATTATCTGCTATCCTAATTATCAGCTGAATCTCACGTAAAGCACAATTATTTACAGACTACGTTCAATACCACATTCATTAGTTAGATATATCAGGAACGAACCACTGACTTACTTCATCCACACTCATACAATTTTAATACGGTTAAGCCTTTTACAAGCAACCTTCATAAACGTCATTTATAATCTAGTGATAAATCATACAAGCAATTCTACAATAGATCTATGAAAACACCAGTTCGAAAGCAATTATTACCATTTTTTGAATGATATTTAACACCAATTTCCAAACCGCTACACAGCTGTTGATGCAGTGAAATTACTATCACACTCCACGAACTACAATGACCTGTAATCTCAGTACGATCCACAAATGGCTACGTCACCTATTGATAAACAGTAAGTCACGAGATCACAGAAAAATGAAATGACTTGATCGAAACTATTACAGCATACAATTAGACAGCGCCTTAAGTAACCCTTTCAATTAAGAGTTTTCAAACGCTGACCGTTCGTAGCAAAACATGTGAGACAGACACTGCAATAAAAGTTCAGTGTCAACCTATATAGCCGACAAAGGTTGCCATACACTCGATCCATGATGACGTATCGTGCACAATCATAATCTTATCACAGAGATCTGGCGAGTGCCTTCCTCAGATGGTAAGATTCCCGCACCTAGGTTAGTTTCTCATATTTTCCTTTTTCTGGAAACATCGCCAGCAGAGATCAAAAAGGAAGTACGTGTTGAGCGTCCTATTGCTTTTACGTATGATAGGGTCTGGCTATGGTGAAATAGCAAAATTGCTGCAGTTTCAACCGAACGACTACTTACGGTATCAAGATTCATTACAAAGTTAGTTAGGCATAACTCTTCCATAGAGATACGAACTACAACAGGCAGGATAGCACACGGTTATCGACATATTGTATGTCTATGAGTACACAGAGATTGTCATTATACGTGTTACCAATACGAACAAACGGTATCCGGGCCAAGTGAAATTTACAAGGCCTCAATCGCAGCTAGATCTACATAGGATATTCCTGTTCCAAATACAGTTTCACAGTGTCACAGTGTCCCAGTAACAGCGCAATAGTAATATGCTTGCATGCTAAAGTTAAAAACACGTGGTAGTCTAGGTTCGGACTTCGGCACTTTTCGTTCGGATTTTTTTATTGCTGGGAACCAGCTAACCGTAGTAATGCCTAATGACATACATATACATATACAGTAAGCTAGATATGAATCGAACTAGACCCATGAAAATCGTTTGTGCACGTCATCTTTAGTTGTTTAGTAAACTGTTTCTAACTTCAATTGTTCCAAACACTTTCATATAATACATATCCTCTTTGAAAGCTACATCATGGAAATTTAAAAAAAAGCTCATCCTACAGAGTCATCTAGGCTATGTTCTTGGTTGGTTAATTATGTAGCTGCAATACATACCTTAGTATAGAGCAATAGAAAAACTAATGTGAAGTAGGCAAAGGTGCACAAAGGACAGAAAAATTGCACACGATTATTGGACGCAAAGTTAGAAGAACAAATAAACAGGTAAACTCTTATCATGAAACTCGAAGGGGTCTTATTTGCCACTCTCAGTCGTCAGGATCAAACGCTTGCCAAAGGCAGCTAATTACAGACAACACGTTTTTTACGACGATGAGGTGTTTCTTACACTTCTATGCCAAAGAATCCACAGTTTAGCGGAGGGGATATTACCTAGCTGAACGATATTTTAAGTAAGACGATCGTTGTCGGACAGTAGTGGTTTAGGGTCAAATTAACCACTATAGGCTGATGTGACGTCGATTTTAAACATTGGATGCACATATATATGTAGTATAATTACTTATATATTAGTTATTTACTAATTGTAGGCCTAGGCGTTTTGTTGTGTGTACCTAGTTGTCGTTTATGATTTCTTGCAATCGTTTGCGTCGCTTGAAAATTTCAATCAATTTTGTCAAGTTAACCGGAACGGGAAACTTTGCCTGATAGGAGATGTTACTAAATGTTTCGAGACGAATGAAACATCGAGTCAATAAGATCGACGAACTGATTTTGTAAGTATTTACTATGAGATACAGACTACGTGTTCTTCGTATCATATTTTACCCCTAACTTACCTTTAATCTCAGCAGTAGCCGTTCGTTTCCGTACCAACGTTGCTCAAAATTACCCCATCATTATTACTGAAAGATGACTATCTGAGTAATACTATGGGAGGACCTCCATTATTCCGAATATGAACTTGCTGCTATCGCCTTTAATAACTGGGTGATTTCAGTTCAATCTTGGAGTTCATAGTTTCCGCTAGTTAATCTATTTTTAGCGTAGCTATTTAAAATTAGCATATACGTAACTAATATTTTGTATGTGGAAAAGAGATTAAAACGTTCCGCCAAGCTGTTGGCATCAAAGGCTAAGTTACTTCAAAGATACCTTAGTCCACTTATTTCTGCTACGTACTGACGCAACCAGGCATCAAATTTTCGCTCTTGTCATCCAGTTCATTCTAAAATATTTATCGCACCTAATTGTGCTTTCCTAGAGTGAAAGTGATCGACTATAAGTAATGTCATCAGACAATTTTTCAGAAATTTTCATATTTCCAAAAATGAGACGGCAAGCGGTCACTAGATCCTGTCTTGCCATCTGGTGATTAAGTGTTCAGTTTTAAGATTGAGGTTTAGTTCCCGTTAAGCTAGTGAACAATTTGTTAGCTCTTTTAGTTCTATAAGTTGTCGATAACAAGTCTGTTTACCTCCAAAGTTCACATTATTATTACTTATTACATTACTGTTACATGACTGCCATCGTTAGTAAGAATTTATTTTTTCGAAATAATCTTTTGTTTTTACTCCCCGCCTCTCGAAATCACGTCTTCGCAATTCATCGGTGAGAGATTCTAATGTGACGAGATATCCGAATATTCGTCCGTCTTTTTCGTCTATTTCGAACATCCTTTTTGGTAATTATAGACACTGTTGCCACGAAGTTTCGCGGGGTGTCCAAAAAACGATACCCGACTCTATATATCCTAGATATTTCGAACCTGTTACATGCTCACAGCACCTATGAAGACAGTCACTTGGATATTTCAGCCGAGCTTTCCTCCCACGTACTCTCCTGTTTAAAGAAGCAATTATTCTTTGTGTAGACTATGGTCTCTAGACATTTGTTTTATATTTAATGTCCGCACGTATACCTAGAAAATAAATGGAGTTTCTTGTATATATATATATATATCGTTTGCTCACGGCAAACGATCAGTTCGCTTCTACCGATTAATATCCATTTAACCTGTAAATTCATTTACGACTATTCCCCTTAACAAAAACGTGATTATCGGTACCGTGATATCGATGAAGGTCTTATTGCATTTAAACAGTCCGTTTTTTGTATTGCGGCGACGATTAACCGTAAGTTTATTATACAGTGCGACTTTAGGCTGACTCTGAACTGTCCTGCTGTGTCGACAAATCTTCAAATTCATCTTCAATAGTGCCTGAAAGACTGCTAGGTGATCTAGCCTGATTTATCCAGAGTTACTCAACAGGTGGCAGAGCAACCATGCTAGCGGTCCTTGCCTCTCTCATCCTATTTACTTTCTCTTCCTTTTCATAGGTCTTTTGTTGCCATAATCTATACGAAATTATCTCCGCTGTACCACAGGCAACAAGCCTTTAGGAATTCTATTGGCGTTGGAAGATTCAGCTTCTTTTAGATCACTTGTTTTGATCGCAGGATAGCACACAACAAGTACCTCTAAACCTCACTATAAGTTACCTGAGTTACTTCGCTTCTGTTTTTATACCGAAATCAACCCGAATTCCGTTATTTTTGTGTGACATTTGAACCACCATCTGAACGAAAGAAAAATAACTTATTCAAGTATTATTAGACGACGTTTACGAATAACGCGTTTGACATCATAGAAGCCCCAATAGTGAATGTGTAATTCACAAACAAAACTATTAGATCACGATGTTTTCCCAAATTGGGGACACGTTATTGTGTGCTTGTGACTGCGTCCAGTATCTCAATTTAGCAACAGATTTCTAAACAGCAATTTATTCGAATTGCTAGCTTGACTTCATCTAGTCTAAATTCAACCCAATATTTCGTTTCGCGCGACCTATTGAAAACTGTTCAGGTCATACTGTTATGCCATTTCGGAGCACTGCTCTCTGGGACACCCTTGTCACGAGCGGATGAAATTCCTCGAGCTTTCGTACATGAACACCTAGCTGGCTGTATCTGTTCCAGGCATTCGTACATCTAGACATCCGATACATTTAGAGGTAGTTCGGATGAGAACAAATCTGATAAAATTGCTACTTCGCTGTTGCGAAGCGCACCGCTTTACGATGTTCATCTGGTAACTAGTATCCTAGATGTTAGGCCATGAAATACGAATGCCTTAAGAAAAAACGCGATTATAATGAGATTAATCAGATATTTGAGGTTAGCAATTCTGAATCGTTATATGCACACTACCTTACAAAAGTCGGCGGCTGTAGCTTGTCTGATACAAGTGCACTTGGTCTTAACGATAGCTACCAGTAGAATAACTCACTACTCCATTCGAACTCTACTTGACGACTATCTGTCTGGCCAACACCCAACAACTACAGATTATCAAAAAACAAAATAGATTTTAGGTGTCATTGAGTTTTTTATTCATATAATAGTTGGAAAGCTATTTTATATGGAGCGAATTTATTTTTAGACACAGAGGGACTTAGTAGAAGTTCAACTGTAATATAAATTGTTATATCGTCTGTAAACTTATTTCTGTGAAACCATATATTAAGCAAATGTCAAAGCAGTAATCATCGTTAAAATATAGACAGGGATCAGTACGGACCGTAATGCATTTAATGCAGATTTCCGATCCAATGTATCCATTCTTATGGCTTTTTTAATAGCCCTTAAGTCGATGAAGCACAGTTACAGGTAAAAAGATATGACTTTTTACTGGTCTACACAATACAGTTTTTACCATTTGATACATTAAAAAAACGTGTTATAAGGGTGGCCAATCGATATACAAACATTATCGATCCGATTTTTCCGTTCTTGTTTTCACATTCCTTTCCGAGATTTTCCGACGCAATACAATTTAATTGCAGAGTGCCCAATTATCTTTATATCAGATACCGCAGATCCTTTTAAATATCTAATAAGCCTTTTATATTTAAAAAAAAACCGATTATTCTGCGAGAAAAACAGAGGTGTACATTGTTAACCTTGTTTACAATTCATTTCCGCATTAATTTTACAATTCGGATTATCTATTGAACGCTCTAATTACTCCAGTCGTAAAAAGATAACCCCGCGATAATCAAGCGTGGACCACTTCGAAGCTGCAGATCTCATCACACCACAATCATTTAAATGCCTATGTATCAGCATTACTATCTCAACAGGGGCCGTTACCACGTTTGATTTTCTAGTGTGAGCAAACATTACAACCTAATGAATTATAGCGACAAGTGATGATGAATAGCATAAGCGAACCGCGTAGCTTTGATAACGGAGCGGTACACAATATACGAGCTTAGCGCACTAATAGCACCGTGTTCATCACAGATCGCTGTTAACAAAACACAAACATAATCAAATGTTTGTATAGAACACGGATGCTAAGTTATTATGTCTAAAATTAGCGAAATTTTTTTTCTCTGCTAGCGTCTTTTATTGTACTGCGTACCTCTTAAACATATTGTAGATCTCTGCACAAAACGATTTCATCTCCTTCCGCCCTGACTGACGTATTTCTCGCATGTAGATGCTGGAATTGCTACAGTTGCAGAAGTTTCGTAGGTGAACTTATAACAGAAAATGTACACTCGTTCGTGCTGCTAGTAAGAAGGTTCAGTTTCACTTTATGTATTTGGCCTCTGAAGTAAAATCCTTTGCAGAGTTTACCAATCCATCATTGATATTGTTAAAAACTTTTCAAAATACTTCAAACATTTAAGAAATTCTCGGAGTTAGAAATAATTCATTTCTTTAAAAAATCACACTTTCCAACCACACTACTTCTAGCTTTACGTACCTATTAAATAATACTTAAGATATAATAGATAGCTTACCCATTTCACCTTTCACATAGTCGAGAGGTCGCGGAGACGGTCGCAGGCTCGTACTAAGCGGTTGAAAGAGTCCGCATGTAGCAGCAGCGGCTATAGTAATTACTCTGTCTTGCTGATATTTCGCCACCTTTAGAAACTGTAGTAAGAGCACCATTCGCAAGGTGGATTGAAACACTGTACGTATGGAATGGCACAGCACTAAATTGACAATTCAGAAAAACATGCACTACTTAAATCACAGCTGATAGAAAAAAACGATCCTCACAAACATACACACAGTAGAACAGCTGTACATCAGCTACATCAACCACAGAGAAGTAACTATACTACAGTGTTTTGTGTCTATCTTATTAACAATGTTTTAGACAACCTAGTACGGCTGATTCAGTCTCAAGAACATCCCTCGAAGCGATGGAGTATGAAACTTGAAGAACATTATTGCTGTGCACCATATGACTTTTATTGCCTCACGGATGTGGATAGACTGAAGTTGAGCAACAGAAAACTGAAGATGGGTGTCAATCTCTACTCAACAAACTCTCATCGGAAGTCCTGCAAACAGATACACAGCTTGACCCAACTTACGTACCGAGTCTTCAAAGTATCTGACTGTCTTATCAGCTCTTATGTAGTCGCGCGAGTCGGCTCTAAGTCTGATTGGAACTCACTGGCTGCCTGTTTACTATGACATAGACAACAGCAGAAAATGAATCTCTTCGAGCTGCGTCTCAAGAGATATTGCATGAGAAAGGGCAAAAATGACGGGCTTACGGAGACACATAGCAGTTGATAGTCGAGGATGTATTATGTCGTGGAAGATCGGGGTAGCCTTTGTGGAAAGGGTTCACGTGAAAGAGGCTGCCAGAGGCCCGCGCGCGGGAACGTTTTAAATTTCGGTACAAGAGAGAGGGCATGCAAGGCCGCGAAAATCGGCTAAGATTTGAATTTCGCCCGGCTGCCAGCTGAACCGCTGTTGGTGAGAAAATGAAAGAACGACAAACAAGTGGATATCTCATACATTTGTCTGGGTCTATATTTAGTACTATCTGATTTGGGTAACGGTACATGTTTATTTGATATCTGTGTAGGTAATTAATACTCCGCTGTCGTTTTCCGCTGTTGTATTTTCATTTGTGTTTCTGCTATGCCGTGAATTCGTACTGATGCCAAGAGCTGTGTGAGGGTGTGCGTATGAGAAACATTGTGAGGGCGTTTGGGATAGTAACTCCGTGTATCTTTAAAAAGGTATGGAAGAAGGCCAAGTGTACGCTGGATATTTTATAATTCGATAAATAGGTCTAGGGTATTTAATAGATGTCTATGTGATAGGTTGTGTTGTCATTTGGAAATCTAATTGCTCCTCAGAAAGCCATTGCAATATTAGAAGGAGGCAAATGTACGTCTTCGTTGCTTGCCTTTCTATAATGTTTATATCTTAGTCAAATAACATATGCTCTATTACGATTAATCGCTTACTTGTTAGTGCCGCAGTTGCTAGCTTTCTCCACGTACTCAGTATGTATTTTCTGTAGGACCACTTCTTTGATATACGATATACGCTTATATTTAAAAAAAAAAAAGTATCCATTTATTTTACATGACAAAGTAGAAAATGCCTAATTTCGCGCCCACTGGTTGTTGAACGTTACTCAACCCTAATAAGTTAGCTTCCGGCTCAAGCTCCATACAATTAATGTTAGCTTTTTCTTAACATACATAAATCAAGTCAATATTCAGTCTTCAATTAGCGCTGCTTAGAACTTCATTTATAACTGTTTAGACATTAAGTTAGGTCTAAGGACCCTAAGGCAGATCTTTTACAAATAGCGGTGCGCTATCGAGGGCTATGGCGTGTTTTAAGAACCAAGATTTGGTTTGACTTGGCCAAATCCTTCAAGCTCTTTTGACGAGAGGTGTTCCCAGACAATTATGATTCCGTTGAAAGCGCCTAGGGTCAGCTTCAATTTCGAATGACGCCAGCGATGTACGTAAACCGTTCTACTTGTGATGAGCGTGTCGAAAGCAGTACGGCGGCCTCCACGACGGAACTTCATGGCTTCTGCTTTGTCACGTTGATTAACAATCCAGCTTTATCCATGGAACACGATACCATAACGAGAGAAACCAGCATCGGCGGCGCCTAGCAACTTTCTATCCTCTGGCTTTCATCGTGTCCAATGTTGACTGGACGAACGGCTTCAGCTGGGCTATTTTATCATCAACGCTCATTGAGTTTTCTTCTAGTATCGTCGACATATTCGTATATGAGTGCCTCATAAATTGTGCTTATCAATGACGTCAAAAACTTTAGAGGCGTGCATTGCCGCTGCTACTACTGTGAAATACCCTAGCTTCAATGTACGTCGGAGATGTCTTGGTAATCGCCCAATCAGACTTGCCTCCTCTTCGGCTAGATAAATTCGATATTTTTGAGTAACACGAGTTTTTTTTTCTATTAAAGCATAGTGGTGCTCTTGGACAGGCACATAACGCACTTTTATATTATCCCTCCAAAACCATTCGCATGTTGCCATCCATAACAGCATGTTCATTCTAGGACACAATACACTGAATGGTCGTTTCCAGATTAACGGTCCATAGAGCCGATGCTATAACACTGAGGATTTTTCTAAATACGGATGGTAGCAATAGCTTTCACATACTTGCTTACAATATGACGACCTGAAATGCCATAATGAAACAGCTACTTATGCACCTTCAGGTATTCACTATGACATCAGTGTCTTTATATCCAACCGTCATTGCGTCGGAACGTTGGCGGGACAGTGATCTTCGTACACTTGAAGGTGAGAAAATACGCTACAGTAAAAACCTTCAGACACATGAGAAAAAGAAGACGCTTGGTTTACTATGAAATTTTGCTAGGGATCCCCTACACGTTTTGGGTTAAGCAATACAAGCTTATCTAAAAAAATATTGTAGAATACTTCTAAATATAACAGGAGCATTATTAGATGAATTTGTAGCTTATGCCTGATTATGAACAAAACAAGTTAAAAATTTGTCTCATTTTAAACGGCCATCAAATATCGATCTAGTCACAGCTCCAATTCCGTATGTATCGTAGCATACAAAAAACTTTTGATGTTGGGGAATCGACTGGTCTGTCTATCGTAGATCACCGGACGTTTGGCTGTAGGTAAATGGCCCCGGTGGCGTTTTTTGCCTTTGTCCATTGTTCTCCGTATTTTCGAATTGATTGAACTCGTTAGTTTTGGTTACTAGCTTTTCGAGACTTGTTTTCGTTATAAACCTCTGGCAAGACGGATTTGCTACCGGATATTGCCAGAAATGAAAAACTATTCTGAGCGTCAGGAGCTGCTCGTACGCAGATATCCAAGTCAAATTTTAGGAATTCGACTGATGGCTAAAAATTCGAGTGTTATGTCACGGTCGAATTGGACAGTCTATATTAAAAAAAACTGCATTTTTCATACGCAGCTATCACAGATGTCGTGTATAGGGATCGACTAGGCCGTGTGGATTTTCTTCTGGGTCCTGGGCAGGCAGTTATTGTTGATGGCGGCACCTGTCGTGAAAATCGCGAACATGGCCTTCTGGAACATTTGGCCAAATTACATCGCAAGGTTTGTAGAACAAATGGTTATGTTTTTATTAGATGCGCATATTAGCCAATATATATTGTATTTGTTTACACTTGCTATGTGTTTGTTTGCTAGAAACCTACATCTCACTTTTACCATCCGCTTATGCATATAATGTATGTAAGTCACCTGTCGATAACTTGCAGTCATGCGCTCGTCAAGGTGGTTCGTCGCTACGCCACGTAATCGTTATTTCAGCAGCTCCTTCTGTCGATCTGCAGTTGCTCTGCCACCGCCTTGGATTTAATGTCTTATGCAGCTTCGAGCAAGCAACCTCAGATATCTTAGTGCACCTTCTCAAAATGCTCTGTTCCAACTCGAATAATTTCTTTCCGAAGATTACCGCCTCGTAGGAAAGCGAGCTATGTTAAACTGTATTGCTGCCATATACGGGTTATATGTGTATAGTTCAAAAAAACTATGTATAAAGTTGAAATAATAATTATCTTAGATGTCCTATGGAGTACACGCAAATTAACGTAGACTCCAAAGTGTACGCCCTATTCAGGACGACACTGTACATGCGTCCAAAACACTCCCAAAATTCAGGACTTTCAACCTGTTGCGTAACGTACAAGCCCATAATGTACAGCGGTTCGATATAGACTAGTAAGAAGGTGTTGATAGTACTAAGGCTGAATTTTGTCAGCAACAAAATCGATCCGTAGTAAATTATCGAATTACATATGACTGCGGTGAAATTCCATCGGAAAACTTGATTTTGTGGATACTCAATGTATGATGTGTGAATGTGATAGTACGTTTATGGATGATCTGAGTGTGAGACGAAGCTGGCAGATTTAAATTTGGCAATGATTTTGAGAAGTACCAAGCTGCATTTTCACATTCTTTATTTGTACAAATGTGACATCGTTCAAGATGTAAAATTTAATTCTTTTTTGTTGTCTGGGACGGAACTTTATTGGTTTTATGTGGACCTATTTTGTGGGAGCTCATTTTAAATTGGGAAGACCACTCTGTTCAAGTTTTTTTTCTCTACGTTTTGTAATGTTACACATATGTTACTCGCTCTGTTTAATATAATTTATTACAGGTGTTTTGTGTCCATGGTGAATAAGAGTTATCAAACGTAGCAATTTCATTTGGTGTTATTGTACACAAAAATACTGAAAATCTATTTGAGCTTACTTTCAATTAAGTAGGACTAAATATAATTATCATAAACGGAACCCGAATAAATAGTTGAACAATGAGGCCCAATCTGATACACAGAAAAGTATAACTGTTACAAATTTCTGAAGGACAACATTTAACTGTATGTAAACATTGAGTAATTAATAATAATAATATCGAAAACGGTAAATCCATCTGTGGGCCTAAAATCGTTCTACTACTTCTTTGGTTTTTCTTCTATCAATTTCTCCATTAATTCGATCATACTTTTTATGCCGGCAACTTTTGTCAAGTAGTGAGGTACATACTGAATTAAAATGAAACTCAATTCTCAATGAGAAACTCAAGTCTGCAAATCAGTGAATTTCCTCTCACTCTCCTACTATATATTATAAAAGACGTTATTATTATAAATCGAGCAGGAACAAACTAATAATGGAAAACAAACCGTGTGTGAAATGAATACTGATTTATTGAAACATTTTTCCGTCGGTAGAGTTGATACTATACAAGTACTTTATACAGAAGAGAAACTCCGGCAACGTAACCTGGCCCGAACGAACGGAAAAATGTGAAGGCGATCCTGAAGAAGCGAGATATCGCTTGATTATTCTGTTCCACCCATGTTGTTTTCGTCCAGGAACCAGAATGTGATCGTTGTCGATAAACGCCCAATGTGTTTATTTATATTTATGTACTTATTATTAATAATATTACCAATATTATCTTTATGTATATCATTATGTACAAAACACAGCTGATAGTTGATCTCTCGTACGTTTCAATCGCCGTTTATCTCTGTTCCATTCGATCAGTTAATTCATTCACTAATCAAGCAATCGATACATCATCAATCAGCATCATTCATTTCCTCAGTCTGGTTCCCTTCCATATGGAATAGCCGTGTGTTTGCAAGTACACTCATCAAATACATATCATTTACATAATGATGATCCATCTATTAATTCTGACTTCGTTAAATCGTTTTTTTCAACGGCTCACATTCTCGATTGCGCCGGCTGTTTCCGCACACAACCGCTAACATATAGCCACACATACACACACACAACTTCTCTAGCAGAGAAAAGTAGGACCAGCCTATACAAAACCATGGAGAAAATCGTAGGAAAGCATGAGACTTCCGCTCAGCATCTTCACACGCAACCTCGCAAAGTCAGCAATCACCGCGACGATAAATGGAGCACAAGCAACACGCGATTAAATTAACCTGCAGTGCGTAAGCATGGTAATTGGTCGATTCTTCATTTACCGTTTGTTCCAGCTATAATTCCAAATCTCCGTCCATTTATCGTTGGTAAAGGGGTCCGAACTTAATTGGACCCTTTGAGGACAGCGCATATGCAGATTCTTTCCTGCATAGATTCCACCCCTGTCTATAATGTAGTGATATTGTCAAAAAGCTGCTAGCACGCGCAGGAGAACGCAAGGCGCATCTCAAGATTCACCGTCCGATACGACCTGGCCTTGCAGCAGGCTGCTATTAATGGCGAAGTGGTTTGTTGTGGAAATACCCTTATACCATTTCTATATAGATACATCTTTTGTTTTTATATTTATAGAATGGATGCGTTTCTAGGGTGTAATGTATATGCTTCTACTACGATGAAGTATGAAGCTATGTTCTGGTCGGTGATGAAAATAATGATTCTATCTGTACACTTTTTGCTCGTCTCGAGGTGACTGTTGCTTTTCCTTGTTAATTATAAACGCATAGTCACGTTAGTATGACCTTTCCACTCATTGTCGTCGAAACATTATCATCAAACACGCAAATACTTGTGTCGAGTTGCTGTCAAGTTTGCCATTAACAAATCAGGTATCGCTGATTAAATGTTTGTGCACTGTGTAAACTTTCCACTACCGTGAGCAAAAGCATAGGTATACTCGCAAGGACGATTTGCTCAAATTTAATGAACTCTATAGCGTTTATCGTTGTTTGTGCTAGAAACACGTTTGGTTTTAGCTTCCTGTTTGACGCGGAGACCAAGATGACCCGAGACGAGCGTTTGTCAAATGGGAGATTGTTCCTTGAGCAGCGACGGCAGTAGAAGCAGCAGATTGCAAACAATTTTCTATAGCTACTGTCAGTATTTTGTATGCTGATTGCCATAATTATTTGTCTACTAATTATTACATTGGTGTTCAATACATCATCGTTATATTCTATCAAAGCATCGTTTGGTCGCAACAACTTTACTTAGTTACAGTTCACTTTGTAATTATCAGTAGTAGAATTTTCACTGGTAGCTACAGAATTCGTTTATAGTTTTACAGGTCCTTTCATCTTTTCAGTTGACTCTATCAACGTACAGGATTCGCGCACGCTATACCCACTGATCGGTATGGTGAACGTGCACGTATTGGTACCATGATCGTCAACACCATCGCTAATATATGGAATATCGATGACCATTGTTGCTACTCTTTTCCATGCAATTATTTTCAATCATAACATATGTCCTATTCTCATATTATATATGTATAAATAGTTCTATATGTTGAGATTTAGCTAATAGTAATTATAGCAGTAGTAATGAGTAAATGGCAGTGTTGATTGTTGGGATTGTTCGAGTGATTTACACCCGTTGATTAGGCAAAGACAGTGTCGACAGTAGCCGTCGCACCGTTGATCGAACAATTTGTGGCAGAAAGTGGTCACGCTCAACTTGCATCTCCCGCGACACGGCAGCACCTATTGTGTGACGCTGGCTGGGTACAGCTATGTATCTATTTAGTGAAAACATGTTGCATGTCCCGTAAACTAGTTTGGGCTTATCGTCGTGACTCGGTGTTTGGTTTTGGCGCTTATCGCAATTTTCTTACACACACACACATATATATACTGAGTGGAATAAGGATCTTTTAACAGTTTTAAAAAAGTCACTTCACAGATACATAGTGTGTACGTTTTCGACTTTTATATGTACTGTACAAATATAAAATAAAGATTCCTAAACTCTCGCCCTATTACATATAATAACCCTGTACTCACACAATTCACAGTCCAACTACAAACCTTATGATATTGTACATAAGCGTACCAAATCCAGACGCACAGCTACACCAACAAAAGGCTGAAAGACACAGTGGCATAACACACAAATAAATAGTACAGGAGAAGAGACACGTATGTTTCAAGCTAGACCTGTCCTAGAATTCTTACGAATAGTAATTCAGTTCCCTTAGCGCGTTTACTAGACCCATAAAAAAAAGTCAAATATGTCGCTAGAAGTTGACGATCCAAACATAGTCTATGAAAAGAACGACTTCGGCTGAATATCATTTAACCGGAAAGATGAAAATGTTCCTGATCGCAATCGATAGCTCTTGTCGAGACAGCACTTCCATCAAACAGATAACAAAAAACAGACTTATTATACAGACTACACAATACAATTTGCGGCAGCTGATTGCTTAAGGAACATCCAAGCTTCCGCGAGTTTAACCTAGACCGGCGTCAATTTACCGACAGAGCGTTTCAGTCTGTGTTTTAGGTAGTAGTGGGATATTGAAGATCGGACGCTTCCCCGTCCCACACCCCAGCCTAAGAAACAGGAGACCACAGTATTACGACTCCACCTATTATTTCACAGGTGTACAAAAAAAAAAACAGCGAACGTGATAACACCCTCGCGTCATCAGAGAGCAACGTTGAGTATAAAATTATGTTTTTGCTTTCGTATTGCAAATTTTTTTCGTTTGTTCAAAACATACGCGTAATACTGGTTTGCCGGACTACTTGTTCGTGCCACTGAGATTCACCATCTGCAGTTGTTTTTTTTTTGATTGTTGTATTATTGTTGTCATGTTATTGAGTTGTTGTTCTTCATCTATTGCTACTGTACTTTCGTATCCTCTATAAATACTACTTGTAGGAATTTAGATATGGCTAATGAGGCCATAGTTTTTACTCTAGTAGAGCACCTTTGAAATAAGTTTCAGCCATTTTTTCGCTCCAGTTTAGATGTTTCTGTAGATTTTATGTATCATGGGATAGTAATGTCACTTTCCGTGCCATGATTCTGCCATAGTCATGCAACATATGTAAGTAAAGGGCCTCCCTTACATAGATATATACAGCGGTTTCGCTTATTCCGACCTGTTGGTGTAACCACGATAGGCAAAATGGCCTTAGCACTTAGTCATAATACGTTTTTTTTCTTTACTTCAATTTCCTCTTTTTCATTAATATAGATATCCCAACATGGTTTCTCTAGATGTCTACAATGCCACGGTCGATACGAGGGTGATGTGACCCCATCGGCGCCAAAATGAGAAAATGTTACGGTAGACCATACGGTATTTGTTTATCGGTCATGATCTACCGATCTATAGGCAGTACTATTGTAGAAATGCATTTATCCGATCGGATTTGGTAGTTTTTGGCGAGCTGGTCTACACTGCGTTTGTTCAGTTGGATATCATTAGAAGGTTACGCATTCATTACTGCTAGATAATGAAAATGATAATGAGAAGTATCATTATTGTTATCGAGATGATCCCTACATAATTGCAATATGAATAGTAAAGGTAAGTAATAAATACATTATATATATATATATATATATATATATATATATATCAAAGTCCAGCAATATTGTCACAATTTCCCCCAATGGTTGCGGTTAAAGACTTCTTTCCAAATTTGCGACCTTCAGCGAGCACCTTCATCTGGGAGCTTGATTTTCCAGTGGTGATGTAAAAGTGGTCCGAAACTTTATTTTCTGCTTGTTTTGGTTCAAAAGCGGATTAGGGCACCGATCATATTGATCATAATGTAAAAAGCCATCCCAAAAATTCCACCCAGCGCACAGCTCTTGACTCGTTTCAGGCTAACTGCTATGCCCTTTAACCACGTAATTAGACGCGCACGCGCACACGCACACAGACATACACAAACACACAGCTGCGGACCGTCCAGTCTTCTTCCTCTTGCTTAACAATCGTTTCGGTACTTCGCTTCTGATCCAACTACTAAATAGTACTATGAATGATATATAAATCAGATCCGTGTGATGTGTTACGCCTCTGGGAGATCTGAGATCTGAAAAACGGTCCAGAAATTCGAAACAGACAAAGCAAAATATTTAAAGTAATTGCAGGAAAACCGTGCATGTAGTGTAAGGTTGTAGTACAAGGTAAATATCTAGGTTAATAGAAATATACTAGACGAGGACCGTGCGTCAAAGACGTCCATTAGATGGTGTTACTATTTGAAACTTGCTTTACTTTTAGGTGGTAAACTAAAATGCATTTACTTTGGCCAATTACCTTTTTAAGTACAAACTTATCGTAGACCTGCTGCAGCTCTTCATGAGTGAATTCCTCCAGCACAACGACGTTCTTAAGGGTTTTATTCAGCTTCAGTGCACACTCAATACAATGTACCATATGCTTTTTATCGATCTCCTTGACAAATAGCACATTGAACACTTCCACCTGCGTATACAGAAGAACAAATTTAACATAAGTACCAATTCCAGCTAACATTAGCTATGCTTGAGCGTTAATTAACACTATTACTACCGCATACAACCATGCCCGGATGGGGTCGTTGTCGGCATGGTTAATGTGGATCTTCATTAACCGAAAATAAATGGACTCGTGTAACTATCTCTGTTTCGAAGTGTATCGGCTTGAATGCCTATATAAATCGGAACAAATCTGTGAATCTGTATAGATAACTAACTAATATCTTCTTACTCAAACAGATAACTTACGTCGCAAGTGTTGCAGTAATAGGTAACTTCATCATCATTTCGTCCATGAAAGATGATGTCCTTCCCCAACCTGCGAACAAATCTTCTCTGACGTTCAACGCTTCGCAAGCTACGCATTAGGCACGTTCTCATTATATCAAACATTCGCTCATCTACGGGCTGAACATTACGAATACGCCTTTGACGATCGTTCTCGGTAGCCTTGTCGCCCAAATCCTGCAGCTGAAGGACCTTGTTCATGAGACTTTCGTTTCCATCAGTCAACTTATTCAGCTCAGCTTTATCTGCCTGTTTCAAGTTTACAAACTGTACATTGCGGGCAAGATTCCAGGCGAGGTGAAGCATTGGTACAATTGACTTAAAGCCCTGCATTTTATTCCATTCGTAACGTTCGACACCCAAACGGAACTGGTCGTAGTTGAAGGGGCCGATGTTCCAGGCGATATTGTTGCACCAACCAGAAGCCTGGACCCAGTGCACGCAGCCGGCGTTGACGAATACCATATCGCCGGGTTTTTGAGTGAATCTGTACACCGGAATATTGGCTGCTATCAGGTCGTCTTGGAGAGGCCACCACGAGCCAAAAAGGTAGCTGGTTCCATTCTTCTCACATAGAGCATGGATATCACCCCAATACGCATCGTCAACGCCGAACCACTCACAGTCGCCAGGTCCAATGTTGATATTTACTGAACAGAAGTTATTATTTTCTTGGTGGCCTGGAGTACGTGAACCGGGTACTTTCATGTATAGCTGTACCGTATTCATTCCGAGAATTGTATGGCCGACGTGCGACAGCATATTGGCTTCATCTACAACTCGGGTGAACGCAGGTAGCTTCTCCAGTTCTTTGAGTTGAGCTGCCCACTTCTTTCTATCGGAGAGATCAAGATTAGTTCCAAACTTGATAGTTTTAAAGCTGGACGTCCTCTTTTGCCGCTTTTGTTTTGGAGCTCCGGAAGGTCCGAAACCAGAATTTGAATCGGAGTCTGACAGATGTTCAGGTGTAGCACCGCTGTTTGGGCTTGATGCCGTAATCTTAAGATCCTCATGCTCTTTGAGCTCGCCTTTCAAGCTTTCAACGAACGTGCCCGCCTGATATTGGGCATATCGCGACACCGTTGTATGACTTCGGTGCGACTCACACCGCCAAACCTGTCGCGCCTTGTCCGCATCCCAATTTTCTTCGCAACTCTGCTGAAACTGTGTCCGAACTTCGATAGGATGCTCGGGATTGGATTGCGCCAACATTTTGGTCGAGAACAAACCCAGATCAATCTCGAGAACTTGGCAGATGTTGCGTACTACGGTGATGGGATACGACGTACAGAATTTCTTGAGTTTCGGTCCCAACGCCTGGTCAGGCGTTTGTATTGATACGCAGGGGGTGGCGGGCAGAAGTTGTTCTCTGGTCAGACGCGGTCCGTCCCTCGCCGGGAAGTGAGGTCCACAGTAACCGTCTAGCAATGTCATGGTTGGCACGATTGAGCCGATATCTTCTCGCGCACACTGTTGCTCTACCTGCTCAGAGGTCATATTTTTGTGGAAACGTGCGTTGAGCTTATCCATGGCCACGTTGACATTAGGCTCATTAGCAGGATGGATCAATCGAGCGTCGTCGTACAAGGCCTCATCCTTGGTGTCTTCATCGTCCGCGCTGTCCTCCTCAGCCGAACTGCTAAGTGAATCCCGTGACATGCTCTCGAAGTTGCCACTCTTTCTCTTGCGCAACAGCAGCTTAAGCTGCTTACGGTCATCTTTAAATTCGACCCCCTCACGGATGAGGCGCTTTATTGGATCACCCTCTTCACGTACGTTATATTTACTCAGAACAGACTGAATAAAGAGCAATAAACAAACGGACGAAAACATCACATTGGCAATTAGTTTCAGCACTGCTTCACAACTCATAACTTTCTGTTGCAATAGACGTTTGTCTATTCTGACTGATTCGCTGCAAAAATCTGAACAAATACCCGAACAGCGAGACACTTCGCGATGAAGCTAGAAATAAGCAATTCTTGTTTTGCTAAGCCAATATAATAGAGTATATTAATTATTACATCAAATGTTATGTACCGATTGAAGTGTAAACACTGGTGGGGGACCCATCGGCGGTGCCATCACTGGTGTGGCCGTGGGCGTTACGACTTCAGGCGTTGAACGAGGTAACAGCTGGGGCACCTGCTGCAGGTCACAGGCGTTTGGAGGTGGCGGCCCCATGGGAAGAGGCGAGGCGGCCACCTTGCTCGAGGGGGATAGGTCGACACTGAGCGGACGGGGAATGCGGAATGGACCCCCCCGGACTGCTGGCGACGGCATGAGCTTTAAATAGAATGCAGTAAACGGAACGCATACATTCCCGGTCAGTTAAGCAGTCAAATATGTTACGATGAAGGGGGCATGGTTATCAACTTGATTTGAGAAAAACAAAACTTTCTAGAAAACTAAATGTTGATACATGCAACGCCAGCACATTCCGCAAGATTATCAGCTGTTAAATAAAGATTAGCAAACGCCATGTTTGCTACAATCTATCACATCCTGTTCGATTTATCATGTCAAATGGTACGACTTTATAAAACTTTCTATATTACTTACCGTGCCATACCAAAGATGTTCTATAACACTGCTTACCTTATAGATGGCATCGTCCTGTTGCGACAGCTGCTTCGCAGCCTGAGTTTCAATGGAGGACATAGTAACGCTTCTCTGCTTCTGATCTATTCCGTCAGCGCTATTGTTATTGCTGATACAGTTTTGTTTATCCTTACGTTATTTGGGGCCTGGACGAAACCTGCAGCACAGGCGCACAGGGACACTCAGGCATACACACGCTCCGAATGAGACTTTCGATTGATTAATTTTCGTTGATTGTTGAGATCGTTTGTTTTTGTCGTCGACTTCTATGGTTTTTCCTAAGGCAGTGTTTACGGCAGTGTCTCATAGGTGGCAGTGAGAGCCTGTAACGATACGACGCAAACAATATGACCAAAAACCCAGTTAGATAAGGAGCGAAACGAAGGATCCATTAAACCTATTAGCGCTGCCTGCGAAGGGTGTGCGTATGCTGCTAGTTTCTACTATCCAGTGTTCTGGGAAGAGCCACTGAACGTTTCCGTGTATTCTCTACATCGCGATGGTAGCTAGCTAATACCCAGATATCTTAAATTGCACTTTAGCTTTGGCGCTTTCGTCGCGTGAACTGATGTAGCCTAGCGGACAGACAACCAAGGAGGATTAATGAGCTACACAAGAGCCCGATTTAGAATTTCCTAGCACCCAACACACGTGGACTTGATGGGTATTTTTCGTAGAAAAAGCAGTATCTTCCCTGGGGTAACTTAATCAGAATTGCTCTACAGAGCCAAGCTAAAAGAGATGCTACAAATAGAATACATAATTGCTGTGTAAACATTTTGAAGCACGAGACAACATGCTCATTGTACTCTCAGGTACTGTGTGTCTCTACAATGAACTAATAGGGAACACTATTAACCAAATAATTTAGTAGCATTTGTTATCCGTCTCATGTATTGAGGTGACGAATGTATGTTAGGTGTCAGTTGTGCCGCTGAGCTTCAATCGTACTTTCTTTTACCCATCTGAACCCACCAGCATCGACTACAGTGTGCAAATGGTATGTCATTGTGCGGTGTTCGCAAATCGCTTTTAACGACGGCCTGACAAAACGACCAGGCCAGATAAACCTCCTTGAAAAGCAAGCTCCTCTAGTCTTCCTTCGTTTCGACCCCCGATTCTTAACGGCGAGACTGACAGTGTATGTAGGATATAGGTCAAATGGCATGCATTAGCGGCTGCCTTGTCGTTCCCACTGAGAGTAAGGGTGGTCGAACTGATACAGATCAGAACGTACGCATACATGGAAAAACCTGTTTAGACATATTTGAGATACTATACGCGGGACAATTCGACCGCAAAAGAACACCACGAGCTGGTCCATTGTGGACGGCGGGTAAGAATCAACTCTCAACTCTATCAACAACGTCGATTCGATGCCTATACTATGTTACATAACAACGGACCGTATGCGCAGATTGAATTCGTGCTGACTTAAGCTCTGTAATACTGTTTGTCGATCACGATGCTTCTTCAATCATATATATATATATATATATATATTTATATAGATTAATGTTAGATACAAGAAAATATGGAAAATTATCAAACACCGTTTTCGTTACGTGCACCTCAGGCGTAGAAGATAAACAGTCGTGGTACTACTTTTCAGTAATACAATAGACAAATTGGTTCTACCTTACATTTACATACACTATGCGTCCCTGCAAAGCAGTCCGCGCCTGTTTTGCTATTAAGTAGGCTTCATTCTACCTGTGCAGAGGTAAAAAGGCTAACTCTGTTTAGAATAAAGATAACGTCGAACAGCTATTGCCAAGTAGTAAAGCCTAGTAGCTTCTGTTACAATATAGTTTAAACAGAGTTCATCACACTTATTCATTCGGCACAGTTTTCGCACTGATAATATATCCGATCGGACGATGCTAATGGCTGAAGGGTACGACGTTACTTTCAAAGGTGAAAAATCAAATAAGTTACTGCTATTGGGTTACGATCAACCAAATTAACATGGCGTTTTGGTTAATATTTAATTAACTAGTTGTTATGCGAAGATTTTCTTAGGATGAAGCCCGATCCGACCACTTTAAGTGGCCGATTTAGGTCAGATAACCAAAGATCTAAACGCAGACTTAGCAATATATATTCACAAACATTTCGAGTGGTACCGTGAAATACCAACTACCTAAAAATCACAAATTGTCTATACGATATAATAATAATATAATACAATAATACGATCCACAGTATGCTGCAATTAACTGCCAACGGTCTGTGACATGGATGGACATTAATAGATGCTGACCAACGCAATAGCTCGTGAGGCATATAAAAATGCCCTGCGTGAATCTGGAGTTCAACAAGGAAATGGTAGACAGCTTTATTCGGACAATGGCTTCCGAGTCTAATGAGAAGTTTTTACGGTTAATAACTTCGCAGGAAATTGTAAAGCTAAATGAATCTCGAACTCGCGGCCGAGGTCCTCGAAACAATCAGACGATTAGGTCTTAGGAAAGGTCTTAGTAGGAAACAACAATTAGACGATTCGGTCTTAAATTGGCTTTTACGTTGGAACTAATTAGACTGAGAACGATCTTAGGAACGACAGTAACTTGTGATGTTTGAGAGGGCATAATTAGAACAGGACAGGACAAGCTTTACTCCGTTCCACGTGTACCTGCCTTTCGTTAGCAAATCAACAGATTCGTTGAGCTTTATTTACTTCTGTTTTCATTACATGTCGTAGCTTTGTTTATCTCTATATACCTGTAGCGAAACAAAGATCGTAAAAGAAGAAACAAAGTAGTCAATCAGTTTTTGAACCACAGTGGACTGATTTCTTTTTTTCTGGGTTTCGGACGCATTTTTGTTTCACTGAGTGTTATTGCTCACCATTGGCGACATGGTTGCTTGGCCATGTACAACCAATACAATCTGGTGTTGCACTTTTTCCGTACTTGGTATGTATTTCTGTCATGCCTACATAGATTCATAAGCTTCAACCTAGATTGTAAAAAACAACGAAAAGATACTCTGTTTTGACTACAATATACCATGCTGTGCACGATCGTTCAATTTTCGTTCGGTTCAGACGGGACATTCTGTCTGTGCTAAGCTTCCTTTTGCACGGGTGAGTTAGAAGGCGCCCTTTTTGAACTGTGTCCTTTGGCTATCGATATGTTACGTTTATAATGACGTAATATGTACACAGGGGCTCTGCATAGTTAGAAGGTACTCTAGAGCTTGTGAAAGAGATCATAAACAAAATGGGGAATTACGAAACCCAGAACCAAAGGCTAGTGGGCCCGCCAGTGGGTAAAATTTAAGAACTTCTTGGCTTTCCCATCGTGCTGATCACTCCTCCGCTCTTGGCCTATGGCTTTGGACAATTATCCGACAGATGCATTCAAGTCTATTTATGTGGTGAATAAGAATCTATGCACAAATTGCGTTCAACGTCAGAGCGATGCTTGTTGGAATCAAAATGAAAAAAAAATGTCACTTAAAATTATTCCCCAACTATAGCAAAAAGAACAGGAGAAATACTGGCTTCGAGACAGCCGAAGCGCTATGTATAAACATGGAACAACGATTTATTTTAGAAGATTAAACTTTTTTCGGTAGAAGAGATCTTTTTGTGCATCGTATATAGGTCGTGTATGTTCGATATCAATTTAACAGGAATCAATGATTGAAGTCTCTCTAGCTAAATCAAAGAGAAGCTCAAAATAGATGTTATTTCCAATGGGAAAAGAGGATCATTTTTCATAGGAACAATGTCCTATTTTTCTCGATAACGTGAAGCCCACAAACAGATAAGAGAAGGCTATTCTCCAGTTTGCATAAATTAAGCAACCCGTTATAGATCTAAAAGCATCAACTTTGATTAGCGAATGTATTAGATGTTCATTACTCTAAGCAGTAAATACTGTCAAAATAAATTTCAAAGACAACGAAAACCACACAGGGAACTAATCGCGTATACCTCGCAGATGTATACACTTAGCTTGTAAAACTATAGCTCGAAGGCAAGGGCCTGCAAAACGTTGAACGCCCTCAATGTTTGGAACGATCTGATATTAATATTGGTTATTTTTTTTTACCAATTCTAGTCGGTGCCACTCAATGGGGAAAAGGTGCCCTATAAAGGTACTGTATCATTAGACAGTCGCTCAAATCGGTTTTCAGAATACAGTTTCGAGCACTTACTTACCGTATGCAGTGGATCAGTCCAACCGCTAAAACTATTCCTAAACACAAATTATACCGTATCCATAATTCGTATCTTATAGTCACGATATGAAGATATTTACTGCAAGATATGTAATTATCTTGCAGTAAATATCTTCATTTTTGAGATAGTACGAATAAACGCGATCCCATTAAGTAACCTTATCTTGATGAACAACACTGCTGTTAACGTGACGTATTATTTGACAGTTGCCATCGTCATATCCGTCTATCTGCCCTGGGCGTAGCAGTCTATTTATCCAAGCAATCTTTCAATTCAGTCTCTGACACACTGGTTTCGTGCACAGCCTCGCATGCCAGAGAAACTATTCCGGAACTCCGAGTGTGATCGTTTCGCCATTATTTGTACGTGTGTATATATTATGATCTTGCCACGCAAACGTACATACATCAGAGTGCGAGGTACTCCTTAGCACGTGGTCCCCATTCCTCTCGCTAAGGAAGTTCTCCCCGACCCTCGCTTGTGACGTCTATCCATTTGTCTGTGTCTTTGTTGGAGCTGCGTCATCAAAGCTTCTATCCGATGACGCGCTCTCATCGAAGTCGTTCCAGCCTGACGAATTTGGTCAGTAGTGGCTACTTTGTTTCTACCGGTAGCTTCACGCCTTATTTGGGCTTGTTCTTTTCTTCAGCCGATTAGCGCCTTCGTCTTGGAACGAACCAAGTAAGCAGCGAAATGAGTGTCAAACAAACCTTATCGGGTGTCGAATAGCGACTGACGGGTCTCTGACATTTCTTTTTTGTATATGTTTCTTTTGTTCACTCGCATGTCGTCGCCGTCGTTATCATTATATCTTCGTTCATATACATTCATTCATGGCTACTCATGGCCTTACTCACAGCATTGCAGCATGTCGTTATCCCTTACTAGCGTACCCGTTCACGCGCGATCCGCTTCCAAGAAACAACCGCTACGGAGGTGTGACGCGTCAACGGACGCCAGCGGCCGGTGCCTGAAGCGCGTCAGAAGCTTGACGTTTGCTCTAACACTGTCCCAGCACTAGCGTTACTTTCTGGTATTGCGACCGGCGACGGTCACCACGCCATCCAGGGTTTGTCGGTTGTGAGTCATGAATATCATTACGCGTTAAATTGTACATATATATTTATACAT